TTTTTATTTTTGCATGTTATCACTGTGCCCGTTTTTTGCTTTTATTCTTTGTTCCGCAAAGTGCGCTCTTTTAGTTTGTAGTGATGTGACAATATATATATATATATTCTCCCCCTCTCTCTGGTACTCGCACACGCGCACCCCACACCATCACATGTTTGTGCACACATTCTAAATAATATTGCACACAAGATGGTGCACAATCACCCGTGCACATGCACACACCCCACCCTTCATCCCCCGCCACCGCCACACACCTTTCAGACAGACGAAGTGCATTCCATATTGCGAAAACACGTGACAAAAACCAAGCGACATGCATCCAGTCGCCCATGCGGGCTCTGCTCTGGGCCCATCTCGGTTACCTGGTATCTTGTGGGGCACATTCACAAGATGCCGAGTTTTTTTCCCGTTCAAGGAGGAGGTAGATACAAAAGAAGCAGTTCTCGTTTCGAATTGAAGCAGCTAAGCATGCATTGAGCAGTTTCATCAACTTTGTTGCAGCATGCCTACTCCAGGTTTCACATCTGCCATCCCTTCCCTCCCATCTGTGCATTACGTGACCTTACGGCCGCCCTCGGAACCACATTCGTAAGCTGACAATTTTTCCGGATAAGTTAAGGCTGGATGAAGAGTAATTTCAGCTGGCACTATCAATTGCTGCTGTAGGTCTTGCAATTCTTCGTATTACTTTCGAATTTGTGGCACTATTGAAATCTAGCGAGACCAAAACAAGTGGTGGGTCATTTCTCCATACCTGCTTGCTTTGATAATACCAGGTGGCGGACTCTCCTTTATTGATGGATCTTTCGACGATTCAAAGTAGTCGGAGATCCATCTTTGAAATGTTTTCTGCGCATCGGCTCCCTCCATAGCTGCTGCTGCTGCCTTATACATAGTGTCAAGCTTCGCAATCTGCGGTGATGGCAATGAATCAATTGGCATTGGCATTGAAATAAGCCAGACAAACTGTTAGAATGTGACAGTCCGTAACAAACAAAATACCCCATAATTTGGCAATCTGATGAAGTAATTGGTATGGGTTTCATCTCTCTGCCCATTTGGACAGTCCCACTTATACCCCTGCTCATGAATCCGTTGCTGACGCCCTTGGCAGCCATGCAATATGGAATCACCATTGGGGTTACACCCATACTGATCCTCCGCCTTACCTTCACAGTGTTCTGAAAGCTTATAAATCTCCTCCAGAATTTTGGCAGCATCCTTGGCGTCAGAGCGCAAAACAGCATTGCTATTGTCCCACTTGCTCGCCTTCGTCCAACTGTCCGTCCCATTCGTGACCGGCCTCCACACAAACCACGGGCTAATACAGCGATTACTTCTTTGTATCCCAGCGCCGCTTTGCAAGGAGCGATCTGGACTCTTCGAGAGAAAGCCATTGCATTCAACGATTGGCGTTCAACAGTGCTGGATTGTGCAGAGTGGCGGTGAAGTGGCGCTTGATCTCAGTGCATCCCCCCTTTGTGGCCTCACTCCTCACACTGTTGATCTTACTACAATGTACACCAACCTTCCTCATGACCGCGTTCTGAATAATGTGGCAAAAGCTGTTGATGAAGCGCATGCTTATGCCCTTCGGCATACTCACAACCGTTCACGCAGCAATGCCTTGAACATGGTAGTTCGAGGACCCGTTGTGCCCAATTGACAGCCGATTCAGGCCCGGACATCATTTATGTATCTCAGCTGCCCCCAACATATTCGCTTCGTTGTACAGAACAATTACATGTGCCCTGCAGATGGCGCACTTAGGAAACAGACTGTTGGTATTCCAATGGGAAGTAATGCTGGACCAAAAACTTCTAATCTGATGTAATATTGGGATGAAGCACACTTCGTTCATGACATTTGTCAGCATGATCTTCAAGCTGCTCAGCAATATGCTTTCATTTATCGCCTCATTGATGACGTTTTTTTCATGGGGGCAATTACCTGCTCAACCAGAGCACTACGGCCTTGAGTGGAAGAAAACTACAGCGTCAGATGGCTCCCATACCTTTTTAGGTATGCAACTATGGGTCCGGTCCGCTTTGATGGCTCGCTCTGCATGGGCCGTACACAATCTCTTTTCTGTCAAAAAGCATTTCTCTGCCCATGCGCCGCATCAGGACAATTTATCAACATTCTGGGACCCCCTTTGCACGGCTACGGAAAACTCTACACTCGGCTGCAGCCGTTATCGTCTCTATCACTAAAATAACATGGTCTCTGCATCCATGTGTCCAGAGGATTGTCCCTCCTTTCCTGACTGCAGGCACACTCCACATCCGGACACACTGTCCGTTTTGCAGTCATGGCCGCTATACTGAATGCATGGTCTTTTGTGGTGCCAGTTCTTCCCTCATGTTGGCCCACAATCGACATGCCATTTGCTGGGAGTGTTTGGTGGGCATGCTCAATGCCAGCCGTCGTGGCAATTGTTCTACTGAGAATGCTCTCCTAGGTTTTCCATGCCCTCATCATCTCATTCTTAGAATGTATGTCCTCTCTGTCGTCAAGGCCAGACTGATCCTTGAGCCTTGAGCCTTCTCCTATCCTCTCCTCCCCTTTGTCTTCCTTTGCTTTGCCTCTTTCCATCTTCTCTCTCAGTTTATTACCTCTCCCTTTACTATTGCCTCTTTTTCACAGCGGCCGTTATGGCACACGAGGATATAGACAGCTTGCACTCAACGTCAAAAACTTGACAAGCCTTGTACGTGAGAGGAACAGTAAAGGGGGAGCTAAAAGAACAATATGACTACAGAGGCAACGATAAGGAAAGAAATGGAACCAGTGCATAGGAAGGGGCAAAAAGATCAGTGTGCTCTTCATGTTTGCCCTGTATATTTTTATCGCAAAGTGCACTCTTTTAGTTGATCAATATGTGACTATATAAGAAGGAAACAAAGCCTCCAGCAAGGACATGAAATCTGCAACATCCCCAGGTTCAAACTTCTAAGCATGTACCACGAGCCCAACTCACCAAAAGTTTTCAATTTTTCACCCTCCAGCCATCCGCTGCGGATGGCTGGGAAAAAACGAACTCCAAATCATATGACCTCCACACAATCCGAATTGCAAGCATGTCCTTGTATAGTTTACGGTATTTCAAAGAATGCTCTTGCGTGGTTCAAAACTTTACGGTACTTGAAAGCATGTCCTTGCATGATTTAACAGTCTTTACAAGCACATCTTCGCATGCTTTTCAGTATTTACTAGCATGTCCTTGCATGGATTAGAGTATTTACAAGCATGTCCTTGTATGGTTTGAAGTACTTACAACCATGTCCTTGCATGGTTTATAGCATTTACAACCTTGTCCAGCTCGGCTGAACAGCAGTGCGGTCCCAGCATGTGACTAAGAAACTGCTGAAGACATCAGAGGGCTCAGTTTACCTTACAGTCCTCCACTGACTTCATGTGCTGTGCGAGTTTCAAAGTGAGCTCGCATAAATCATTTGGTTGTTTCACGACATCAAAGCAAAAGGATGCATTCTTCATCTCAAAGTTAAGTTCACCGCCAGCCTGAAAAGAACACGACAAGAGAAGAGTGCAATATTCGTCAGAAAGTGTGTGAGCCTGCTACTGGACAAAAAACAGATCATAAGAGGAGGTGAGGTCAGACGGCAGCATAAGACTGCGATACCACAATGACGTCATTCATGAGCAAACGAGTCAGCCTGCTACTGGACAAAAAACAGATCATAAGAGCAGGTAAGGTAAGACGGCAGCATAAGATTGCGATACCAAAATGACGCCAGTGTGTGTGTGTGTGTGTCTCTGTGTGCGTGTGTGTGTGTGTGTCTGTGTGTGCGTGTGTGTGTGTGTGTCTGTGTGTGTGCGTGCGTGTGTGTGTGTGTGTGTGTGTGTGTGTGTGTGTGTGTGTGTGTGTGTGTGAATTGGAGTCTGACCGTTCAGTTTGGAGTCTGATCCTGCAAAGTGCCTGCTAACTGAGGTCTTGCAGTGAGTTAAATAATCCCCTCTCTCTCTCTCTCTCTCTCTCTCTCTCTCTCTCTCTCTCTCTCTCTCTCTCTCTCTCTCTCTCTCTCTCTCTCTCTCTCTCTCTCATTGTGGATTGGTGTCTGACGCTTCACTCTGGAGTCTGAGCCTGCAAACTGCCTTACATCTGAGGTGGCTTGGTGAGCTAATTAATCCTTGGGATGCTTGGGTTGAACAGGTGGCAGCATCAGAAAAGAGGTGGTCGCTTGTGTGGCCCAGTAGCATCTAGAAAAACCAGTTTTTTTAAGACAAGAAAGGGGAGAGTGCCCACTTTCGTGCACATCCGTTACCTGAAGACGGTTCAATTCTTCCTGCACATCATTTAGTGAAACCCGGAGATCCATTGCAACAGCTGGCACGTCTACGATGAAATGGCCTTGCTTATGATGAGCCCTGCAATCACAACACGCGCACACTTGAGACCCAGAAAACTTCTCTCTTTGATTCTTTTTTTTTTTTTTTTTTTTTTTTCAACAAAAAACAGGTCCTTATGGTCCTGGCTCCATTTCCATTCTGGGCAGCATCAGTCCGGTTCCCTTTTTTTTTTTTTTTTTTTTTTTTTTTTTGGGCAAAACGAGTCCTTACGGCCCTGGCTCCTTTTCCATTCTGGGCAGCATCAGTCCGGTTCCCATTCCACCGGCAAGA